TTCAAAAAGGTGGCCGAGAGTTCGGAATCCAGCAGCGACTTGCTGGTGGCCGAAGTGGGCATCTCAGGTGAGATGGGACTCCCTGTCAGGTGATCCCTGCCTGGGCATACCTGAGGTCTTTGGGATGATGAGGGTGAAGAAGAAGAAGAAGATCTCTCTAGATCTCAAAATTGCACAGCAAATAAAATTCATGCTGTATTTTGGTACTGTATGTTAGCTGCCTTGAGTTATTTATTAAAATAATAAAGGCAGGATTTTTATTTATTTATTTGTATCCTGCCTTTATTACTTTGACCAATAACGCAACATGTCCAACATGCCTTCCTCCTCCTATATTTTGCACAACGACAACCCGGTGAGGTGGGTTAGGCTGAAAGTGGGGGACAGGCCTAAGGTTACCCAGCTGCCTTTCATGGCTAAGGCAGCACTAGAATTCACGGCCTTCCGTTTTTTAGCCTGGTGCCTTAACCACTGGACCAAACAGGCTCTCATATAAGAAAACTATCTGGATTTACTTAATTGTCATGTGCTCAGTCTGGTACTTTCCAGATGTGGTCTCTGTATCAGCTCCAACAACTGAGCCTTCAGCCATTACAAGGTTTTGGGTGCAGGGTTGCAAATGCCCTCACTGTTCTAATGCCGTTTTTCCTCCTGGCCCATCTGTAACCTGGGTCTCATCTCAGTGGAAACCCAAAAGTTTCCAAATGCTCAACTTTCAGTCTTCATTTCTAAAAGAAGCACCTCTCTGCTACCCTTTTAGAAGTGGAAATTCCCCTTGTGTCCCTGTTTTAAAATGACACCTGCTATTTCTTTCCACCCTGGGACAATCAAAGCAATAGCACAAAGAGGGCGAATGCATAAGAGAGCTTGCAGGGTTGCACCATTTTGCTTCAGCCGGGATGAGCTTTGCAAGGAAGAAGCTGCTAGATCTCAAGGCTTCAAAACATTGGGGTTCTACCAGCTGCGTATTTTCGTCCTTCGAAATGATTGAATGTTCCTTTATATTGATAAAGTTACAGTAATAGATTAATCAAGCCAATCAAATGTAACTTAAAATTTCTGTTTAGAAATTTCTTCACTTTGGCCTTTGTGAAAGCTACTTAAGCACACTTATTTATTTATTTTATTGATTTATTAAATTTATATGCTGCCCATCTCTCTGACAGCGACTCTTGGTTAATCACATCTTAAGCAAACAGTGACCTGCAAACTCACTAACTAGTTATTCTTCCATTCCAAGCCTCCCACCTGAGTTCCTGTTGCATCTCTTTACAGATTACGGTGACAAGCAGAACATGGAGTTGGGAGAAAAATACAAACTGGATAAAGAGTCTTATCCGGTTTTCTACTTGTTCCAAGATGGCGACCTGGAGAACCCTTTGCCTTACGACGGGCAGGTCAAGGCCAGTGCTCTCCAGCGCTGGCTGAAACTCCGAGGGATCTACATGGGAATGCCAGGCTGCCTGAAAACATTCGATGCCTTGGCCAGCAAGTTTGTAGGTGCCGCCCAAGAACCTGAGCGGCGCCAGGCTCTCCTGGAAGAGGGCCAAGAGCATTTGGCCAAGGCCAAAGAGAGCGAGCGCAAATCCGCCGAGCAATACATCAAAATCATGGGCAAAATCCTTGCCCGGGGGGACCCGTTCATCCCCAGCGAGATCTCCCGCATCACCAAGATGATCGACGAGAACAAGATGAGCGAGGGGAAGAAAGAGGAACTCTCGAAGCGCTTAAACATCCTGTCTTCCTTCCAAAAGAAGTCAAACAATGAGAAAGAGGAACTTTAACAGGGCAGGTGAAGATGGTACACAATGTGGGGTGAGGTCCCAATTGGTGCTCCTCGAAGCAGGCAAAAACTTCCCCTTGCTGTTTCAAAGAGGTTGCAAAGCCCTTTTAATAGCCCCCCCCCCCTACCTATCCCATTCCTGGGGACAGAGCACGCCCAACTTCACTAAGGGGACATTCAGAGACCACCATAAGATCCAATAAACAAGGCATTTTTTCAAGATGGCGACATTTAGAACTTGACCTAACTTGGAGCCTTAGCAAGCTAGTTTGGCTGGGTTGGATCCCCTCTCCTCCCTCCCCCTCCCTCGTTGTGGGGAATCTGAACATCCGAGAAACTGGGCTAGCCCTCTGGGTGGTTTTTGTGTGTGTGTGTGAGATAGAGCACTCTTTGGTCCAGGGGAAATGTGTTAGAGAAAGTGAAGCCAAAAGCTACCCCTGTCTCTTACCAACCAGTATTCACCGAAATCAGTTTTATGGAAAGGGTACTAAATTTGATAATAAAGGTTACTGGGGAAACAAACAGGCATTTTTCTCTTTTATCACAACTTCCTTAATAAAATGAACCCTCCTGGTTGAGCTGCTAAGAACTGAGATTGTGTTTGATGTTTACAGTTGCACTTGAGATCGCCAATGTGGGAATTTATATCTTTCGACCTTTCATTTAGCAACTCTGTCTTGAATCACACACAAGCCCTCACACACACAAACACACAAGGTGTTCCTGACCAGGAAAATGTTAATGACCAGCTTGCCCCTCTTTCTGACAGCCGAGACAAGCTATTGGGCCAGGTCATAATATAACTAATTTATATTATGAATACTTTATTGAATACTTTGCAATACGATTGAATTCACACAACATGCTGAGCACATCAAACTCTCAGACTTGGTTCTTCCAAAGACACTTGCAATCCTTTCTTCATCATCACACAGTTTAGGAACTTATATCACAGCTCAGGCTCTTAAAAACCTAATTTCTGTGCCCAGTTCCATTCTTTGCTACCTCCAATAACCTGAAGTCTTCGGGACGTTTCCATCTACAACTCCGCTTCTTGGGGTCTTAAAACTGGAAGGAAAGAATTGTCAATACCAGTTGGAATTGGGAGCAGGGAAATGTTCTGTGCGCTGCCATTTTATTTTTCTGCATTATTAAATAAGGCAGCACCTGCTCTAGGGAGCCCCATTCCTCCCTGAGATAGCCCAGTATGGCATTCCAAAGAGTAAGCTATTTTCCAGCGTCGGTCTGGGACATTAGGTGAGCCTCCTTGTGCAACAGGTAGATGAACCTCCTTGGCTTTGTATTAACCCTCCTACGGTGTTGTTTTAAAGTGGGGCAGGGCAGGTGTTTCATTGTCCAGTAATGTCAGAAATATTTTACCCACCAAACAATTTTGGGCCGTTTTTAATTAAAATTTAAGAAAACTTTCTGCTCTTTAAGAGTTAGGGAAAACTGGTCTACAGCACCCTTCATTGTGGGTTTTCAAATAAATGCTCCGGTGAAATAGGAGAACCCCGCAGTTAAGAAAGCGCCACCAGCACGGATCTCGGATAATGACAGGCCTGGTGGGCGCTGTTCTGGAATGGGACAAAGGCCCCTTTCTGTGCATCCCTCTCTTCTCCACTTCAAAGCAGCCAAGTGGCAGCCAAAGGCCGCTCTTCAAAGCAGCCGCCTCCTTGACTGACAGCCTAAATTCCTCCCTGGGCCCCCAGAGCAGCCCAAAGGGCAGGATTTCCCCCAAGGGAAGCCTCGGTTCGTTTCAGGGGACGCGGTTCAGTGGTTACCAGCCGTTGCCTCCCCAGGCCCCAACACAGGTGGCAACGGGGGCGTTTCATTCAACCAGGGTGAAGCTGCCTTAGCGGGGGGGGGGGGGCTTCTCCCCCCCCACACACACACACACAAAGCGGCCATCTTAACCAAGCATTTCCACACCTTGTGCCTTCCAGATGCCTTGGACGGCAATTCCCATGCTGGCTGGGAATGATTGGTCTGGTTATCCAACTCAGCGCCTCCTCTGTAAAGCTGGCCCAGGAGGTCATTAAGGTAACCCTTCCACTCTCGGCTCAAGCAAGCCAGCCAGTTCAAGACTCGGGGACTGTGTGGCCACCGAGAGAAACACGGCTCATCTTAACCTAGGGGAAGGTTACTCCATGGTTTAGGCCAGGGGGGTCCACCTTTGGCTGCTTTTGTGGACTTCAACTCCCAGAATCCCCCAGCCAGCGTGACCCAGAAACTTCATCCCATACCCAATTTAAAAGGAATCCTGACTTTTGTTGCAGGTGATCTTCCTTCCTTCTGTGGATTCAGGTCAGTAGAGGAGAAGAGACCGATCTCTCACAATCAATCTTTCTCTTCTCTTCTCTTCTCTTCTCTTCTCTTCTCTTCTCTTCTCTTCTCTTCTCTCTCTCTCTCTCTCTCTCTCTCTCACACACACACACAC